TGTGCAAACTGAGCACAAAATAGAGTACCAGCCTAAAATTTCAAAGTATGTGCTCTGTAGATATATATATATATATCTTGGCAAAGACACTTTGCTCTGTGTAATTCAGTTTATCTGTCTGAGGAATATAAATCTCTGTGTGAGTATACATATGTATGCATATATATGTATATATATATATATATATATATGTACACACATATATACTATGTTAAATATTTTAGGAAACTACAGCGTGCCCTTATGTGAAAACCCAGCGAGAGAAGATGATTTTCTAAAATAGACACAGTGAAGCCCATGATAGTGACACGGGTCTGTAGACTCAGCACTCAGGAGGCTTCGCAGAAGGATCCTAAGTTAAAGACCAGCCTGGACTGCACAGTGATTTTCTGAGGCAAGCCTGGACTACTTACAGAAGCATTGCAGTGAAAACATAAAATGAAACATTCACTATCCAAACAAAACCCAGTTATTACAACTTAACTTCATGCTGTTGCATACTAAAGGTGCTGGGCCTGGGGATTGTTCTCCATATTAGAATTATTAGGGATGTGTTACAGTCAGAATGGGACTGACCTAAATTTTTCTCTTTTCCATAGGCAAAATGAGTGATAGGAATAATCTTAATTCTCCCTCTATGGTTCTAACTATTTGATATTGTGCTTAACATTAGCTCCTTCATATACCACATCCTTATTTAGGAACCCTTGATCTTCCAGGATTCATATTCTGTCCTATTTACTAACGAATCTAAAGTCAAACGAAATTATGTGGAACATTGTATTTTGAATATTCCAACTCACTGACAACTTGTTACACATCTAGGTGTTCACTGTATTTCTGAACACCTCCTATGTCTGCCTGTTTGGTTGGTAGTTTTCCAAGCCTGGGGCCAGTTTTTAATCAGATGATATTTAAGTATTCTGTTTGTCATTACATGAACAGCACCTAAAAACATTGTCCTGTGCATTTCTCTGCACATGTCTGCTTTCTCATTCTTATGATTTTCTGCCAAGCACATTATCTTTTCATCTTCATTATCATGAAAACAAATAAATATTCCTTGTCCACTTTCTGATGGGATAGTTTATAATTCATATTTTACTCTCTTTAGAATAAATATCAGCACTGAATGGAGTGTGGGTTACAGAGTGAGACATTGCCGTGGAAATAAAACCAAAGAAATAGCCATGATGAATGAAAAAAACACAACGTTTTGGCCCTTTGGACTCAGCTGTACTTTATCTACAGCCCCTTAGGTCTCTGTTTAAGGTCTACCTCAGCCATGAGTAGAAAAGCTTGATAACTGCTCAGAAAAGCTCATGTTCCTGCAAACATAAGATTCAACTGAGAACAATTTTTAATTCAGATATCTTCTCCTCACTCCTACCTCGCCTCCTGCCCTGCTATAAGAGGACTGATGTGCAGGACCAAGGAATCTGTATGTTGCAGGTACACAGTATAATTCTTCACATGTAGTCCCTGGACCTTTGAGAGAGATGACCTAGCTAGAAATTCTCCTCCCTTTTTTGTCTTCTCCTCCACCTTATGGAGGCCCGGCAACTATCATTCAGTTTTGTGTCGAACTCCATCACCAAACTCCCCACCACACCAGTGATTTCCACTTTCCCTAGTGGAGAGAACTTCTGATTTGGGAGGCAGAATTGAGCAAAAATCCCAATTTAGAGCACCAGATCCACCACTGGTTGCCAATCAACCCCTGTCTTTACCAGGTGTTCTCCTCTTCCTCTGAAATGGAAAGAATTCTGTGCACATTCCTTCCTTATGATCCTCAATACAAAATGTAGAAAAGGGAGATAATGACCACTGCAAATCGTCATGATCTTGCTAAGACTAACAAACAAGAACCTGCCTTTTTAAAACCTCCTCTTTTAGGATACTGAAGAGAGATGGTTTTTAATGATGTTTTGCATCAGGGATTTTAAGCAGCGCTGCCAATGTTTTTGATCAAGCATATGTTTGGGAAAAGGCAGTTGTGATCTCCCTACATTTAAATTTGGGGTGTCTCAGCCCCACCCTGTGGCGTCGTACTCAGACCCATTTAACAACTTGGCAGAACAATTTTACAGATTCTAAAATTGAGGTCTTGCAGATTCTTTAATACAACTGCAAAATAAATAAATAAATAGATAGATCACCCTCCCTATGTTTTCAGCAGAGCCTCTTCTCTCCACATGGCATAAAAAGTATCACGTACTAACAATAGCATATTAAAAGCCAAATTTTGAAGCAATTACTCACAGCTTTGGAGAACAGTCCCCCACACACAGCTGCCACCTAATCAGAAGGTCTTTATCTGTCACCCACCATCCCTGCTACTCACAAAATCAGAATGTCAGTGCTTCCACAGATCTTGTGGATTATCTCCCCCTCATTTAGTAAACTGGTCAAGTAAGCCACAGGGAAGGGACCGTGTCACCAGAGACACACAACTAGAGGCTAAAATCTCTTTCGAATCCAGGTCCTGTCTTTTAGCTTATTGCTCACATTGATGCTCTCTGCCATGGGACTTTGACCTGTAAGAGAAAGAAGTGTTCAAAGGAAAGAGTATTAGGGCCATATGCTTTGAGTATAAGCTTTTATATCAGAAGCCAATCTTTTCTGGAAAAATATAATGCCTTATATTTATTTTTAATCTTGAGCAATAACTAAACTGACATTAAACTGCTGTTAACAATTATGCCTTATAGGGGCTGGGGAGGTGGCTCAGTGGTAGAGTGCTTGCCTTGCATGCATGAGGCCCTGGGTTCGATTCCCCAGCACCACATAAGCAAAAAGAAAAAAGCCGGAAGTGGCGCTGTGGCTCAAGTGGTAGAGCGCTAGCCTTGAGCTAAAAGAGCTGAGGACAGCGCCCAGGCCCAGAGTTCAGGCCCCACGACCGGACCCAAAAAAAAAACAAAAAAAAACAATTATGCCTTATAGCAATCCAGGCCAAGACTATTACAGGTCACCAGGGTCATCAAATAACCCTGTCTTTATTCTCACACTCCCATTGCCCTGCTGAAAGTCTTTCAAGGAGTAAAGGCTGGGTCATTACAGAGGGATTTTGGCCAAAAAAAAATTAGTCTTCCCTCCCTTCCTCCCTCTCTTTTTTCCTCCCTCCCTCTCTCCCTCCTTCCCTCCCTCCCTCCTTCCTTCCTTCCTTCCTTCCTTCCTCTCTTCCTTAACACATCTATTCAACCAATGAGATAAATTAAGGTCATTCATATAGCAATGTGAAGAAACACTTTGGGTTATCTAGAGTTTATACTTTCAAATATCATGTAGAAAGCCTGGAAGAATGGATATATAACCAAGAATGAATCAAAAGCTTTATCTAAGACAAGTAGCAAGCCTAGGAATGGGAACAGTTAGATTTCATTACTGAGAGAAGAAATGTTGTATCTTCTGCTGCAATAAGAATAAGACTTCTAACTGGAGGAAGGGGGGACATTGTAGGGAAAAGTTTTCAGAATTGATGCAAAGCAGTAACATATTTGAACCAAGATGTATTGAATCTAATGGATTTAAATGTAAATGGTACTCATTAGGATTGGTAAAATGTTAGAAGCCTGGACACATGTACATATTGCCCAAGGTTTTTTTTGGGGGGGGGGTCAGTTGTGGGGTCTGAACTCGGGGCCTGGGAGCTATCCCTCAGCTCTTCAGCTCAAGGCTAGCACTCTACCACTTGAGTCACAGTGCCACTTCCAGCTTTTTCTACTTAAGTGGTGCTGAGGAATCAAACCCAGGGCCTCATGCGTGCAAGGCAAGGATCTACCACGGAGCCACCTTCCCAGCCTATTGCCCAATTCTTAAAGAAAGACTTTTAAAGCTAATTCCAGAAACCACAGACTCATGCTTGAAATAGACTTAACCAAAATCTTTAGCCACTTAACACAAATGATTTGTGATAGAGTTAGAGTTGTTACATTAAAAATAGTTCTTATCAAATAATTTCCTGATCTTTTAGAACAGAATGCTTATTTGGCAGAGACATTTTAGTGTATCACAGGATGTGTGACACGGATGTGTGCATCCTCAGGCACACTGAGTGTGATGTGCTTATATGATTCTTTGTTGTGTCCCTGTACTACTCAACATGTTGACAGTGATTGAAAACCCAAAAATTAGATGACATGAAAGTGGCATGTGTAGCATTATCTCATATTCTTACGTGCTTGAAAAAAATATTTAAAGTCTGGTTTGTTATAATGTAGACCAAAATGTTTCTAAACTAATAAATTCAAGTTGAATGGAGACAAATATAATGCTCTGTATGTTGACTCAAGTACACAATCCTAGCAGCATAAAGAACCACAAGAATTAACAGCTGTCATGTCAAGCAGGAAAAAATTAGCAGCAAACTTGGTGTCAGCCAAAAAGATGTTATCATTGTTAAAAAAAATTAAATTTGACTTGATTCACAACAAAATAATCTAAACATAAAGGAAAGGACGTAATGTCTCAAGCTCATTACGAAGATTTATACTTCTTCCTGATACCATAGTTTAAGAGAGACCATCATAATTGTTACCACAGGGCATGGTTATGATGGGATATAATCCTGTAACTGTAATATATAATAAACTGTTAAAGAAAATGGAAATGTGTAGCCTGGAGAAGATAAAACTTGGAGGATTTAATAAAGCAGAATTTTGAGTAGCCCTGGAAGGTAGTTCCACTGGCTAAAATTATAGGAAGGCAGATTTTCATTGATCATTCATATTCAGTTTTTCATTTTGTTTTCATTTCTCATTTTAAAATGGTTTTACAAAGCAGGGGGTTCAAGTTAGCTTACCAATTGATAGGTTACTTCTATCAGCTGAAGTTGCTTAAACATAATGTCAGGCTAGCCCTTCACTGGAGGTCCTTAAGCAAAGGCCAAATGGCCACCCATCTGCATGGTTCAATATGGTTCCTGCACGGTGGGGTTTTTCACAGAATATTCCTTGGCGCCCATTCCAATGCTGAGGCTCTCTAATCTTCTCCTTCTCCAGGGATGCAGTGGAGTGTGGTGGTCAGTGGGAGAATCAGTGCCATCCCCCAGCAACATCTCCTTTGGTGGCTGCTCAGCCCAGTGACACTTAGGCCCCGGGGACAATGACCCAGAAGACATCTGTGGCTCCGAGAGAGAGAGCTAGATCCTCTAGGATGCTGCTTGTGCCTGATTGCACCTGGCATTCTCCTCATCACTCAAGGCTTTGATCAGCTGGTGCAGGCACCTGGGCATGCCAGGCTTTGCCTATGAGATTCCAGCAGGTGGCATTTGGGGGGGGTCAAAGGTCAAAAGGGCCTTCTTGTTCACTTTTCATTTCCCAGTATTCTCCCTTCTTGGAGTTTGCATTCTTACCTGTTCCTCTCACTGTGCCATATCTGTCTTGCTATGGGTCACTCTACCTTTCCTATTGGAGTCACAGCTGTTTTCAAGTATACCTTTGCTGTGTCTGCTCACAGACATTGTCAAAACGTATCTTCCCTGTCCTTGTCTTGGTCGCATGGTCCCAGCCACGTTTAAACTGCCCTTCTTCACACTGTTCTGTGCCAGACACTAGTGAATTTGCTTCCCTGTGTCTGGGTCTGAATGTGTATCCTCTTGGGCATCCCTGTATCAGTTGAAGTGTCCTCTTGCTCTTTGCTTGCTCTTTCCAGCATCAGCCATTCTCTTCGGGGAATGTTGTGGTTATTTACCGCGGAAGACAGCTGAACAGAGATCTGTCGGTGGAAAATGGTCTCTGCGGAAAGCTGGAGACAGTCAGCTTCCCCCAGCATTGGGCCACAGGTCTGTCTCAAATGAGATGCTTACATGCTCCCATTGGGAACATCTTCTCCCAAAGAGCCTTGGGCAATTGTGAGACTTTGGAATCTTCTCTGTGAAAGTGATACCACAGAACCAAGGAACGATCCTTGAATCTGGCCATGTTGCTCTCAAAGGAGAAAACCCCTGGAAGTTCACACTGTGTGGCCTCCTTACTCTACAGTCCCCAGCTGGAGGAGTGCAGAGCCCAGCAGTACTGGGAGTTAGAACACATTTGATGTCAAGCCACAGGACCTGGATGTATGACCCTGGCTCTGTTCCTACTATGCTGTGAATTGGTGAACAATATCCTTCCATTTCTGAACCTCATTTCTACATCTTCCAACTCCGTTTCTAGGACAATAGGATGCTGCTACAGCCATCTGCTACCTCGAAAAGCCATGGCCTGCCTGCCTTTTGGCTTTGTCTCAAAGGAACTGCCCTCTGCATTTGGGCCTTCAAGACACCTGACCTTGTCAGCTTTTCCCTTCCAATTAATCTGGATGGATATCATTCACTCAAAGCTAAGTCTGTGTTCTTGCTAGCTGCCTCTGAGCAGTTTCCAGGAAGAAAATGCCACTTCCCAGGGCCATGCATGTGTGAGGTCTTTACTTTCATCTTGGCTGGGGTTTAATAGCATCTCTTTTTCTCTTGCCCTTCATGAGGTGTTACTTTCATCTTATTGTTGTTTACTTTTGTTCTGGATTCAAACTTGACAGGAAATAGACTTTGGATAGAAGAAGCGAACATTGCCAAACACATCTAAATACCAAAAAGAATGAACTACCGGTCCTCTGAAGTCTTAATTCTGTGAGGAAGAAAAGTATGCTGTAGAGAAAAGATGCAGACTGGAAGAACACTGTTCATCAGAACTTCTGGGTGATGCCAAGAAATATCACTCCATGCTGAGACGTTCCTTGAGAAGATTGAGATGTCACCGATCAATGGAGCAGCTGTGATTGGGGACCTGCTTTTGTCAAATATGTAGACAATTTAAGTTCAAATTTACAGCCTGACTCTGCACTCAGCTCACCATTTTGAGGATGATTTTTTTTCATTCAAAGAAGGAGACTGCAAGCTTTTGAGATTATGGCTGCCCATATACTGTACTCACTGAGCACAGGGTGAGGGGAGGTATCATGTAGGAACCGGACACTGAATCAGTGATTGACTTACTAAGCAGATCCAATAGTGAACATTCTAACCTCAGAAAGGATCTTCTCTGCCTACTCATGATGCAGAGACAAATAATTGCGGTGGAAGAATCTCATAGCTGAATTTTGATTGTGTAAAGCATAAAGTGTTATATTTTATATGTTTATTATTATTTGTGATGGTTTGAATTACTGTGGCATATACCTGAGCTTGCAAGGGCTACGAGTTTATTCATGAAGAGGTAAGTCATTTCAGAGAAGGAGCTTTCTATGTTGAAGATGATCTCTCTGGAGCAGCTTTTGTGTGACAGTTCTTCCAAACCTGCCCCTCCTCGTTTGATCATTCCAGGTTGTCCAGCACACAAATTTATATGTCACAAATACTCTCATCTCAAATAATTTTGTGGTTTTCATTGTAAAGGGGTAAATGGAGAGAGATGGGAACTCTAGGCCAATAGTTGGTGAGAACAAGCCTAACTTCCAAGTCAAATGACCTAATTTATTATTCCAGTGTGCCATGTAAAATGTATTTAGAAAAAGGTCCTGGGTCATCAAATTAATTTCCATATTGTGAAGAGTAAAACAAATGCTCATTATGGATGGCCAACTAGCAAGATTGTTGCATAGACTCTACTAAGAAGCTGAACAAGATAACTTTTGATATTATTCCTGAACCTAATGGTCTATGTAAATGATTACCAATTATAACTTAATATTATTTTAGCTAATATCTTAATTTTGTTTACATTTCAAGAAAGTACAGCTGCAGACGGGGGATTTGTACAGTTTAGAATGCACTGTGCATAATCAACATATATATATTGATATATATAAAATACATGTGTGCCTATTATCCAGAATGTAATTTTAGCATTTCTAAAAGTTGCAAAATTTGATGATGGATTTATCTCTGGTTTTATGAAATTGTTAGTTATATCTATGATTTATTTAAAACTAAGGCTTTGAAGGCTCTAGGATCCCTGATTCTGTTCCCATGGAAAACACGCATGGTTTTATGATTATCAACTTTTTGATGCAGTTCCCAGGAATATTATCTTGGAAAAACAGAAGCCTGCACAGTTTTTTTAATTGATGAATTTTATTTATTGACAGATATTGATATATTGCACATATGTTTATATGAATGCATTCTGTACATGTTTAAATGCTATATTAAAGGAAATTTTAAATCCTAATACTCATAGCTGAATTTTGATTATGTAATAAAACATCAAAGTCAAAGTCAAAATCAACCCTCATGCTTCAGTACTGTGCAGCTTCTTTGAAACCTCAGAGCCCAGTGCATCTCTCAAAAAGCTATTTGTCTTTGAAGCAAAAGAAATTTTCTTCTCCAATATCAGGTTATTTTATATCAAGCCATAAGCCCAGGACCCTTGGATGTCTGTTTATCTGTCCATCACTTCCCTTAAGGCCTTATGCACTAGGCTAGATCTCTCTGCATGATTATCCTGCGAGTAGAGGATAGGGAGCCAGCTTGGCCATTCTCAGAACACAAATCAGAGACCTTTGCAACAGTGTGACCATTGCAGTTCAGAAGTCTTGGGCTGAGGTTATGAGGCATGTGTCTCTTTGCTGGAATCTCTTGTGTGTGTATGTCAGTACTGTGATTGGAACTCCAGGCCTATGTACTGTCCCTTACCATTTTTTTTTTTTACTCAAGGCTGGTATTCTATCACTTGAACCACAGTTCCACTTACAACTTTTTTGTAGTTAACTAGATATGAGAGTTTCATGTATTTTCCTGTCTAGGCTAGCACTGCACCAGGATCCTCAGGTCTCAGTCTCCTGAGTAGGTAGGTGAGCCATTGTCTGAAAATGTTTATTTAAATGTCATTGCCCACCCTTCCTTCTGAGTGTGGGCCAATGGAAAGACTCACCCCAGCAGTAAGGAGCAGAATGAGAGCCACATGTCCCCATCACCTAAAATACAAGGAATGGACAATGGTTTTGTTTTCAAATCAGATTTTATTCTTCCTATGCAGAATTTCAAAACCCAGTGGCACAAGAGAGTCAAGCACACTGAGTAAGAGCTAGTGGTGAAGTTTTTCATGTCTGCTCATTTCAATCCATGCCCTGGCAGAACCCTTCTTGGGAGCTCCAGCCCTAAACAGCCAGACTAGGGTATCTCCTACAAAGTCCTGAGATCATGCTTGTTTTCCCCCAACAGTGTCTGTAATATTAGTCCGTGCTGTTTTTCCAGATGCCAGTCCTTTCTCAAACAGAATGCTCATGTCCTGACATTTCCTTCCCAGAATGCAGTTCTGGGCATAGCAGGCATTGGAGTTTCCAAACTAACTTGGCCTTGGGAGACAGGCCCTTTTCTTTCTTTCTAATCTGTGTCCATGTGGGAGAAACCATCTATCAATCACCAGAGGAAGATGAAGTAGCATCAGTTCCTCTATTTGCTGAATGGTTTAATTTCTCAACAGTACTGCAGTGTTCACAGAAGCATATTTTTTGACACTGTCAAACAGACCTGTGGTCTGTTAATGCCCAATACTGATAACGTTTTTGTGTTATTTAAAGGAACTAGAAAATAAACAAGGAGACATATGTACATGAATTAGGCAGATTTAAAGATAATAAATATAGAGATAAGAGGGTGATGGAGTGCTATGGATAGGAAGAGAAGATTTGAAGAAAGAGGTGAGTCCTGTGACTGGCAAAGAAGGGATCCATGATCAATATGACCTGGGGGAATAGTGTGTAGGACATAGGTAATTGGAGATGCAAATGCTCTGGGGCTGGAATGAACTTGACTTGAATGAATTTGACAGCTGGAGATCAGCACATTGGGGGAAAAAAATAGCAAGAGGTGGCATCACAGAAGTAAGCAAAGGCTTATACCATTCAGAATCATTCGATATCTATCATTCACCAGTCCTGTTCTTTACCCAGCTTGATGGGAAGCACTCTACATTTTACATCAGCAACCCTATGTGATAAAAATTCATTTTTCCCACCATGTTGATGAAGAAACCAAGACCAACTTTAAAGTACTTAACCAGGACTTTGCCCACAGTTATGAACATTATCAAGGGCTGCACATGGCACATAGATCCTCATTCATTATGATGTCTTAACTCATTCCTTGGCCAGTGCCTTTTTCTAGCAAGAACCAGCCTTCACATGGGTTGTTTCTCTTATGCTTTTTATCCTTCTTTCCCCATGGAGTGTGAGTTGTTGTAACCGAACTACTCAGATGCATTTCCAAAGTGCCTCTTCATTGATTTT